ACGTCACGCGAGCCAGTAAGTCTGGCGGTCGCGACGGCCTTGAGGTCTAGACGTATTGAGGTCACCACAGGAAGGCCAGGCATCGGGCAGGCAATGACTACTAAATACAGAAGACCAAAGTGTGTCAGCGGGGGGGGGAGGTGTTTGAGGTGGTTTGCGGCTAGCTAGCACACACGCGCTGCCCCAGCCGGAAATAACAAGGGCATTAGGGGGCTTATAGGATTGGTCGTAAACTGTCTTTTCTCAGAAAATGGGCTCCTTTAAGGGTTCGAAAGCTCAGGAAAATGAACAAATTGATCCGTTGCTTGACAAGTCTTCTTTTTCTTTATCCATGCAAATACCTGGAACGCGAACATTTTCATTCACTCGTGGTCGTAAACCAAAGGTTCATAGGATTCCCCAGTTATGCAGCATTGGCAACTAAAACAACAACAATTGCTAACCAACATGTTCGAGAGCGGAACATTTCCTGAAAGAGATGAAATATGGACTAAAAACTCCTAAAACCGCATGAAATGTTAGTGCTTTACAAAATTTCAGATCAACCACATGATAGAGCGTCAAGAAGCCTCAACGTAAACGCACCACCTGTTTCACCTTCGAAAACAACTGTTAGAAGGGCTGTAAGTCGTTTTCTTCGAGGGAAAGTGCACTACGTGCTTCTAGTAGGCGCCACCTGTTTACGCGCTATCAGAACTGCTGACAAAAAGAAAATTCGATTGGGCATGGGCTCATCAAGGTTACCTCCAAGCAACCTTCCTACCACCATATTAAAGGCGTTGAGATCAGTAAAGTCAAAGCACATGCGACATGCGAAAACTGATTGGAGACCTAGATGGCGCTGATTTGGGTGTCTTGATTGCCTACTTTGTGATCGTATTTGCTGTTGGCATTTGGGCAAGTCCATCTTATCACATGCTAACTTCCTCATTACTAAAGTCTTCATGTAGGAACAGAGGCAGTGTTGGCGGCTACTTTCTGGCTGGTCGATCCATGCACTGGATCCCCGTAAGTTCTCATTGTCTCTGTCCTCTGACAGGCTCTGTCCTAGGTTGGTGCATCCCTGTTCGCCAGTAACATCGGTTCTGGTCACTTTATCGGTCTGGCCGGTTCTGGAGCCTCGTCTGGCATTGCGATCGCAGTTTTTGAGTTCAATGCAAGCATGAATTGTTAGTCAATTTCAATTTTTCTAGGCCGTATTTATCCTTGCACTGCTGGGATGGCTCTTCCTGCCAGTGTACATTGTCTCAGGTGTAGGTTTCGCATGAGTTTGAACTCTGTTACTGACCTTTATATATATAGATTGTGACGATGCCGGAGTACCTTCGAAAGCGTCTTGGCGGTCAGCGTATTCGAGTTTACTTGGCTGTAATTGCCCTCCTTCTTTACGTATTTTCAAAAATCTCAGTAAGTCACTGTGCTCACCAAGATAACTTATGATTGCTTTAGGCCGATCTCTATGCTGGTGGTATATTCATTCAACTTTCGATGAAGATCTCTATGTATCCTGCGGTGATAATGCTCCTTATTATGTCAGCTCTGTTTACAATCATGGGTAAGTCTGCAAAACTAATGCGCATATGCTCTACTCATTAGGTACAATAGTAGTATTTTGACTATTTTTTCCTTCCAGAATTTACACCCGTTTTTAATTTTACGTCTTCGAAGCCACGGTTGGCTTGAAAAAGTTAGTTTTTTAAAAACCGGATTACGGCACTGTCGTTAGTAATTTTGATTTTCAATTTATAACATTTAGTTTCAGTTGAAGTCGTCAGAAAAAACCTTACTCTATACATAACGTAGTATATAACGATAACTCATCTATCCATTAATGTCATTTGTATAGAAAATTAGTTAAAATATAATTGGTCTAAAACCGGAGATAACACTAGTCCCTAGCCTTGTGGTTAATTTTAATTTAAATAGTATTATTTAAGGTTTAGTTTAGTCTAATATTTAGTTTATTAGTGTACGTTTACTTAGATACCGCCAAGGTTAGATAAATATATTTAAAATAAAGACTGTTTACTAAACAAAACTGACAAAACTAATCTCAAATTAAAAAAGTATTTAAACTAAAAAGAAATCTACAACAAAACTAAAATTAAACTTTTAAGCTAAATAATAAACTAAAACCTTAGCTTTACTAATGCTATCGATCCTGTGAGATAGATTTATAGGGCTAGGGGTATCTAAGGTTATAAACCAGCTTTATTTATACCGAAAATTAAAGTGTAAACAGATGTCTAATACTGATATGACCGCTAGTTTGCTCAATAAAAGGTGCGGACATTTTAGTGGCACAGGTGGTGATTTAACCAGTAAACTTGTATTTCTAGCACATCATAGACAGAAATATTCAGACAAAGGAATGAGGATAATATGGTTATTTATAATAATGATTATTCATAGATTTATGTAAATAATTTTGGAATTTTCTTTAGTACATTTATATTTTTTGTCTGACGCAGCTCAGTCGAGCAATACATTTCTGTTAAGTAGGTTCCATCAGCTAAAATACATTTTTTATGAAATTGATAGTGCCCTCGGATCATTACATTATTGTCGGATTTATATGCTCATTATGGAGAAATCGTCGAAAGACTGCAATAATATTCAGGAGGATGATATTCCTACTTAACTTAATCTGTGCCAAATTTATGTTTTTCCACTGGCCTTATAGGTCCATTTTGCTTTATTTCCACCAAAGTATCATACATGAACAAATTGTTTCTCCAAATAACCTCACAAAAACCTAGTGTTTCCACATGCTACATTGAAGTACTTTATGGCGTTTAACGAAAGTTGACGTATATTTCGCAGAGATGTGATTCTGGAGTAAGAACTCTAGGCAAGGCATCAACTTTTTCATATCATCCAGCAAACGAAATAGTACTGAATTTAAGGCATGGGAAACAGGATGAATATTTGAGTTTCTGGTTAGACGGCATTTTTTGAGTAAGCAAACGCATTAGAATTAAATTTGCATTGCTGAAATCGATGCAAAAACACAACCTGTGAAGATGTTTGCTATTGAACCATGATTCAAGGGAACCTAAAAGATATCCGAAGCAAAACGTTGTAAACATTCTTTCGACTTTGTCCGTTTAAATACAAATCTTCCTCGAGACGATAAGTGTTTTAATGTTCCTGAAGGCAAGCGTTCGACAGCCAATAAATACCTAGCCCAGCCAAAGGAGGATTATGCCAGTATATATTCATTAACAAGCTGTCTTCTTGAGAAAGTGTAAAAAATGAAGAAAACTTAGAAAATGGTTTCTTTTTTATATCCTACAGGTGGACTTACTGCAGTCATTTGGACCGATTTCGCCCAAACGATTATAATGATAGGTGGTGCACTGTATCTTATGATACGAAGTAAGTTGCCAAACAGTTGCCTCACTTTTCCTTTGAAAAATCATGCATTAATTAACTTATCAAAACCGCAAAGACAGTACAAGCACAAGCACATAACGAGAAGATAGCACCCTATTCTTTTTTAAGTAGCAGTTTTCAAGGTGGTTTCGATACCAACGGCTTTAGTAAAATCGGACTGATTAATGCACTTTGTAGCCCGAGCAAAACTTATTTAGATTAGTAAGCAGCTCATTATAAATTCTAATATAATACGTATTCTGTTAAAGGTTTACAAGTAACTGGTGGTTTTGACAGTATGGTGGCAGAATACCTCAACGCAATCCCCAATACAACCCGCGCTTACCAGAGTACACCATTTACGGCAACTGCCCCATTAAATATCCTCAACTTTCAACCCGATCTGTATGGCACCCCGGAGGAAAGAGAGGCAATCCTTGACCTGGCTACCCCTGAGGACCGGAAGCTGGGTATCTACGCCGAATGCAGCATCCCACCGACTGATACGATGAACTTCTTTAAGTCACTTGATAACACTTATCTGCCTTGGGTGGGTGTCGTTTTTGGATTGAGCGTGAACGCCACATGGTACTGGTGCACGGATCAGGTACAATAGAGGATCCGTTTACTTCTTAGAATTTAATATAATCTATTTTACGCTTTTTATCGCTAAATTAATAACTTCGTCAATGTTTGCTCTGAAAAACTGTTTGCGTCAATTGAATAAGTGACGAAAATAACTATTTTTTAACCTTGCTAGATTTTAAGACCTTAAGTGATCAGGATGTTCTCTCGGTTTAGGCAAGGAAATTTTAAACACACCTTGCTTTCGCAGTAAGACCTCTTTGAATCCCAAAATAATATTGGGTGGTTTAATTGCAGTAGCAAATTCTGTCAGCCAGAATATTATAAACTGGCCAAAAGAAAAAAAGGACTATAGTGAAAATTATGTGTGGCATCTGTACGTCAGAGCTAAAGACCGCAGCTTGCCTCAACAAAACAGTTCAAAATGTTTATTACCCTATTAGTATTTATTTTGTAGTTATCACACAGACGCGTAAGGATGTTATAATATTTGCAGTACTGGTAGGTATCTCTGAAATCGATAAGGTACGATTATTAAGATCCGAATAAACTTTCATTGTAGAGAATGCCAGACATTACCCTTCTTGAGCATTTTCTTACTTTTTAACTAATGTTTTAAGTACTTTTAACAGCTATAGATATATATCTTAGGAGTCTCAGTTCTCGAATGTTTGGAGTACCATTTTTGAGTTTGCTGTAAGCAGAGATCGCACCTTTGCCTTTTCTTCCTGGACGTATTCTTAAAATGGACTTTGTGAACCCCAGCAGAAGAGTCAGAACATGTTAATTTACTTCTCAGGCTTTCCGTTAAACATTAGCTAAGTACTTCAATGATCTAAGAGACGAGGAATGTCTGAGAGCTTGATGATTTTGTTATAGAAGCAAACATGGTCGTTGGGAGGTAAATACCCCATGGAAACTCATGAAGCAGCAGCCGAAAAACTGCGGGCCCTTCAAATGCTAAATTTTTGTTTGTCTGGGGCGGAAAACTGAGGAGATTGGGGTGCGGATAGATTATATAGGACTTCCGGTTTTATGCTAAGCAACCTCGGGTGCTGTTGGTAGCACGCGGTTTAACCCGAAAGACAGGTTAAGCCTAAAACCTTGCCGACATTTCTTTACCATTCAAAAACGACCTATCATTATTTATCCCGATCATGAAGTTAAGTGCGAGTTATGCACAATACGTATGCATGTAGAATGCGTTTTATCGACATTATGCAGGCATCACAAAATTCCTTGGACAATATGCAAGTGCAAGTTAAGATTGTTTCCTACGTGGCTAAATGGATGGTCGCTGAAACATTAGCGTGTTAGACAATTTGATCAAGACTTATGTATCCTTTGAAATGCCCTTGGCATGCTTTCCCTTTGAGAAAATTTCATAAATAAGGTTTGCGTTTCAGACCAAAGTGATAGCATGCTAAATTACCACATTTTAAATCCTATTTACAATACATACGTAACCTGTGGACTATCAAATGTGCTCAAAAGAACAATGCAGTACTCCTCCTTTATACATGTGTTCCCTTTTTTCCCAGGTGATTGTCCAGCGAACACTAGCAGCAAAGAATCTAGTGAATGCCAAAGCTGGAATCATTCTTGCATGTTTCTGCAAAATGCTGCCGTTATGGCTCATGATAGTGCCCGGAATGGCGGCTCGTATTCTCTTTACAGGTATGTCTTTAGCTGAATTTCATGCGAAATAGCCCACCCTTCGCTTAGGTAAAACAGCATAGTCCTTAACATATTTCGCTCCTGTGTGTGAATCCTGACGAAATACACCTTCATAAGGCATGTCAGACAATGAGTGTATTAAGAAAAAAAGGCGGAATTCGGTGGCATGCACATGCGAACAGGTGAGTCCCAGGAAGTAATTGAGAAGACGACTCGGTCGCTGGAACAATACTTTTATTCTCCTGACGTTTCGATATTGGTCGCGGATTCGTCATCAGAGACATAGTGTCAGAGAACAATAGCAGATAGGTTAGAACATGCACAGGAGTTTGCAGTATTTATAGGATACAGTGATTACTGCAAACATACAATGACAATTAACCGTAATTGCATTCTCTGAAATACAATACCTTCGACGAGTATTCAGAGAAAATGGCTACCCGCGCAACTTAGTGAACCGGTACCTACGCAAACGAGATGGCCAACAAAGTCGCACCCGCCCCATAATTTGGCGAACGATCCCGTACGTCAAAAAGGTCTTGGAGGCTGTCGGTCGCCTTCTCGCACCACTTGGAGTTGGAGTCGCACACGGGTCGGAAGCTACCATAAGGCGTCGGATAATGAAACTGAAAGACCCACTGCCACGGCAAGAAACGTCTGGAGTCGTCTACAGCATCTGATGCAGTTGCGGGCAAAGCAACTATGTCGGAGAAACTGGCAGACTTTTCAAGACGCGAATTGCCGAACACGCGGCAGCAGTGCGGCGAAATGATGCCCAATTGTCAAGTCGCGGCTCATTCGACCGGACCCGGCCACACATTTGAATTCGATGAGGCCGAAATTCTTGCAAGAAGTGACAATCGGGCAAGCTGATTATTATTTGAGTCTTGGTTCATGGGCCCCCAATCCATCAACAAGTGCAACGATTTGCCCAATCCATATTTGGTGCTGTAACTCAATGTAGTCAAAGCAAGTCGCCGCTTGGAGAACGGACGTGCCACCGCCACGTCCTATGCCAGTATCGGAGGGCCAGATGACCGGGCAATCACTACGTCCGAGTCCACCACGCGTGGTGAAAGGTCAGCAGGTCAGAGCCCGCCTGCCGTTCAACAGACTACCAACACTCAAGAAGGCAATTACGATTAATTGTCGTCGTATGTTTGCAGTAATTACTGTATCCTATAAATACTGTTAACTCCTGTGCATGTGCTACCCTATCTGCTATTGCTCTCTGACTATGTCTCCGGTGACGAATCTGCGACGGATATCGAAACGTCAGGCGAATAAAGGTATTGTTTCAGCAAGTCGTCTTCTCAGAAAAGTTTTAACAGGAAATGTTGGCGGAAATTGTGAATTGTATTCTAGATTTGGCAGGGAAGATTCAATGTAATTATAGTGTTGAGTACTTTGTAGCATAATCCCAAGAAATTGCAGCTATACCAGGATATCAGCTCTTAAATGTATTTTTCGGTTGCCTGGGAAAATGCAACTCACCACAAAACGACTACTTATTTATATAATCTGGAAAACAGATTCTGATTTTTCCGTTAATTTCCATATAGTTTTTAAAAGACGTGCACAAAATTTTCTTTTTTCGCTCCGTTGATAGAAATTTAAGCCTTCTCGAAATTTTATACTCAACAAAAAAGAACCTCTGGTCGGAAAAGTGTTTTTCAATGCCAGAATCCTTTGGAACACGCCTAGCCATAGCACGTGGACTCAGGGTCCGCAAGCTTCAAGTTGCATATTTTTGATGTAACGATACTCCCAGGGTTCTTTAAACTATAAAGAAGATACCGCACGGGTTAACAAAGTTTTTAAATGAATAAGCACTACACTGAATACTTCAAAAAAAGTATTAATGAACGGAAAGAGGTTGTGTTAGTAGACATTTAACGGTCTTAAAAGTCATCTAATTCCAAAGGCAGTAGGCTCTTTCGTTGGACATAAAACTTGAAAACGATACATTCTCTATTAACTGAGCAGACGGATAAATATGTTTGTGCAATTTGATTACAAATATATATGGAATTGCAAGACCATCAAAAATACATTTCAATAATTATACTACAAAAATAACTTCTCTGCAGCATGTATGATTTTTGCAGGTAACAGATAAGAAACGAATTTAGAAGCCAGAATCCTGGTGTGACTAAGATATCTTAGGATTATGCTGCAGGCTATTCCTATTCGGAACAGGCTACTCTTAAAATGGTCATTGATTTATCAATTGCTGTTAAATTTACAGCTCGTTATTACACCGAAGAACCTAATAAAGAGTGAAATTTTAATGTATATGTCGGTTTAAAATATTCGCTTGAAGATGTATTTTTAAAATGACAGTAATGTGTAATTTGTTTTTCAATAAAAGATATGCAGGCACTGTAAATATGTTTAAAGGCCTTAAAGAAGATATGGAATAAGTCTAAATTTTTTTAATCGTTTCCAGATACCGTTACCTGCGGCTCGGCTGAGCTGTGCAAAAAAATCTGTGGAAAAGCGGTTGGATGCTCTGATATCGCCTATCCCTCACTCGTCCTTAATATTCTGCCCTCGGGAGCACGCGGCCTTATGATAGCCGTGATGATGGCCTCGCTCGTCTCAAGTCTGACCAGCATCTTCAACTCATCCTCAACAATCTTCACTGTAGACATCTGGAAGCTGATCCGTCCAAACTGCAGAGATGCTGAATTAATGATTGTCGGCAGGTAAGAACCAGACCAATGACTGATTGGATGACTTTCTTATTTAAATGCTATTGATTTGCCTAAATCTGTAACTTGTACAAGACCTGAAACAGCCCACTGCATTCTTTATCTTCTCTCCTTAAGGGTATGCGTAATTGTTCTGGTAGGAGTCAGCATCGCTTGGATTCCAATTGTCCAGTTGAGTGACGAGCTGTTTAATTACATTCAGTCGGTTACTGCTTACCTCGCGCCGCCCATCTGCGCCGTCTACGTCCTGGCAGTATTTTGGAAGAGAACCAATGAAATCGTGAGTGATAGTGACCTTGAAGTAGCATAATTGCCTCTTTTGGGGGTTGTTTAGCGTGCGCAGTCTATATTTTCTTATTTTCATGTCGTCCTCTAGGGTTGCTTTGTGTCCCTGATCGCAGGCCTCGCAATCGGGATCATACGGTTTGGATGGGAACTAGGATACCCGAAAACACCCTGCGGCCAGATCTCGACGAAACCTCCCCACGACCTTATCCAAATGCATTTTCTGCATTTCTCCATTCTCCTCTTTGCAATCTCCTCCCTCATCATTGTCTCCGTGTCCTTGATTACTCCGCCGCTCCCTGAACAATACGTAAGCTTGTATCCTGAACGTTTTCTGCGGCTCTGGACAAGTGCTTAGTAACTAATTAGATTTTGATAGTGATTACCGTTTGCCAATACAAGCAAACATGCGAGTCCCAGGAAGTAATTGAGAAGAAG